GAAGAACTGCAATCCCCATTACTTGGTACCAGGACCCCAGTATTGAGCACATCCCGGCAGCCAGAATCACTCTTGGCACTGGGCTGTATACTGCCAATACCCCAGTCAGCTCCACCCTTACCCACTGACGAATCTGACACTGGCCAGGAGGAGATCATTTCCCTGGACCTGATTGTGGCCCACTGTCACACTACAAGAGTCCTCCCCAATTCCATCATGCCAACCTACAATCGTGGTACGGGCCCCCTGAGGTAAGCCCACAGCCCATGCCTGCCTTCCTCACCCCCTCAAGGTCATATTGTAATTCTTGGGTGATGTACACACACATGTCGCGACCATCCCCGGTGTCTCTGAGGGAGAGTCCACCAGATGGTTTGCTATAGCCTGGCTGTCCAGAACACCTGAGTTAGCACAGGAGGAAGCTTTTTCAGAACAGGAAAAAGAACCTGAAGAGGAAGCTACCCTTCCAGCACACTTCTCATCTCTCCCAGTTGAGGCTGTGCGGCCCACCCCTCATCACTATATGAAGATTTTAAGAATTTTCTGGATTTTACCAAGAGGGTGGCAGACGAGCTGCAGATTCTCCTACAAGAGGTGGCAGATACACATCACACGTTGCGGGAATTTCTACACACCACTTTCTCATCTAGAATTGTCCTCCCGATTAATGAGGCGATTCTAGATCCTACCAAAGTCATCTGGCAGACACCAGTCTCCATCGCACCATCCAGCAACAGAGTGTAAAAAAAAACCCAACAAAAACAAAACAAACAAACCCTACATCTCTACCCAGAGAGGCAGACTTTGTTTTCAACATCCACAACCCAACTTCATCATAGTGGATGTGGTTAATGCACGAAGCAAGCAACATGATGCCAAGTCAACTCCATATGAACATGCTTGGCAAGATGGCGTATTCATCGACAACATTACTGTTTAGAGTCATAAATTACAAAACTCACATGGCCAAATACAATTTTATTAATTATGGGAAACCCAGCATGTTTCTTGAACATTACTGGAAACACAAAAAGAACAGATTCAGACCATTCTTAGAGATGGTCATTTAATAGCCAGACTAATCCTAGAGACAGCACTGGATGTAACTACTACAGCTGCCCTCCCAGTCTCCATGACAGTGGTATTGAGGCGGGTTGTGTTGTTTGTTTTTGTTTTTTTGGCTACACCTCTCTAGATTCCCCAAAGAGCTACTGAATTCCAGTTTGAAGGGCCAAACTCTTTGCGGAGAAGACAGATTTTCTCTCCAATTCCTGAAGGATTCTCGGACCACGTTACACTCCTTAGGAATCTACACTATGTGACAGAAGAAAAGATGTACCTCTCAACCACACCACAGGTCACAATCTTCTCAATACCCACCATCTCAGTGTGGTTATGAGCCACAGTGTAAGAGGACCAGGGCTCAAAAGTGAGAACAGACTGCACCCCAGTCCATGACCTCTCAAACTGCCTCTTGTAAGCACTTCTGATGAGCTGGCTGAGGGCCTGAACAATGATACCTTACAACATCAGCTGCCATCTATACACCGGTCATGTCACTCAGAAGTCACCTTTCCCTACTTGACAGCAGTTAGGACCAGCTCTAAAGCAAGGAGATTGATTTTTAGCCCTGAACCTACAGGGTGCTTACTTCCATATCTCAATACAACCTTCGTACAGGAGATTTCCTACTGCTTACCTTTGGGGCAGGATAATTTTCAGTACAGAGTGCGCCACAAAGGGTATTCACCAAGGTTCTCTTCATTGTAGCAGCATACTAACCCCGGTACAGTGACTAGACTTTATCAGCACCAACCTTGATGTAGTACAAGCGAGAGCATTCCTCTCGCTACCCACATTCACCACCCTGGGACACATGTCTCCCTAAAACACTGGGGAGATCACCAACACAACCACAAGGTTTAAGACAAATGGCCTTCCACAGAAATGACCTTCCATGTCACTCTTTTGGGGCTAAGGGCTGTCAGGAGTGAACACACAAAGGTCATGGTGGACTTAATGTGACCTGTATGTTTTGTATAAACCACCAAGGAGTTGCCAGATCCTCGTCCTTCTACAAGATAGCATGGAAACTTTGGAATTGATGCACCCATCACAATGTGCTCATCTCAGCTGTCTATCTACCACGTATACTGAACGTCACAACCAATAGGCTCAGTTGCAATTTTCTCATGACAATGAATGTGTACTGAATTCAGAGGTGCTTCAAGATATATCCACCCTTTAGGGATCCCTGACTATGGATCTCTTCATTACTTAATGGAACAAGAAAGGTCCTTGTTACTGCTCCAGAGCTGGCCTGGGGAAATATTCACTGGCCCTTATCTTCCTATGGGACAGGGCCCACTTGTATGTCTTTTCCCAGTTTCCTACTCTATCCAAGATTCTCTTGAAAATTCAGTGAGACAAAGCAAGAGTTATTCTGCTTGCCCCTCTTGACCATGACAAGTCTGGCTCCCTTGCCTGACACAGATGGCAATATGTCCTCCAGTTTCTCTTCAGCCCATCCCTCCCTCACTCTCTCAGAACAATGGGCTAACACTTCACCCCAGCCCATGGATCCTCCACCTCCAGGCTTGGCTCCTTCTTAGTTCTAAGGCTTAGAGGCAGAATGCTCTGACAAGCTGAAAGATGTGTTGCAACATAACCAAAAGTTGACCACTCAACATACTTATCTACAAAATGGGAACAGCTCCAAGTTTGTCTCATTTCAAACACACAGACCCAACCTCCTCTTTCCTCCCTCTGATTTTGCATTACATTTTAAATTCTCACTCAGCTTCCTTAAGGTTCATCTTGCGGCAAAATCGGCTTCCCACTTGGTATTTGCTCACCCACTAATGCAGTAGATTCGTTAAGGGCATTGGGAATCTATTCCCGCATGTGACACCACCCGCTCCAGCCTGGGACTTTAACCTAGTTCTCAGGGCTTTGACTAGACCTCCCTCTGAGTCCAGGGCAACTTGTTCTCTCTTACACCTGTCCATGAAGACAGCATTTCTAATTGCCATCACCTCAGTTAGGCACATAGGAAAAATAGCGGCCCTGATGGCACATCCATCGTTCACAGCCTTTTTTTTTTTTTAAAAGACAAAGTAACTCTAAGGCCATATCCCAAGTTTCTCCCTACTTTCTTTGCACTTTCCATATGAATCAACAGATTCGTCTCCCTGTTTTTTCCCAAAACCACATTGTGACAACTGGGAGATAATTGTGCATATGCTAGATATTAGAAGGACATTAGCATTCTACTTGGACAGGACTAAGGACTTCAAAAAATCCCCTAAACTCTTCCTTTTGTCCACAGAAAGATCCAAAAGTTCTCTGATATCAGCTCAAAGACTATCCAAATGGGTCTCTAGTTGCATTAATCACTTATCAAATGGGCAACTTGGTTCCGTCCAGAGTCCATATGCACTCCACGAGATCAGTTTTTACCTCAATCACATTCCATAGGGATACCCCTATCTCAGCACTCTATAGAGCAACAACTTGGACCTCTGCCCATGCTTTCACAGAACATTATGCGATCACTGAAGATTTGGCCACTCTCACCATCTTCGACTCCACAGTACTCTCTGTAGTAAGACTCCACTCCGAAGTCCCAGCCACCAGTGGTGGGTACTGCTCGGGAGTCACCTAGAGTGGAGCACCCATAGGGACACTACTCGAAGAAGAAGAAGAAGAAGTTACTCACCTTGTGAAATAACAATGGTTCTTTGAAATGTGTGTCCCTATGGGTGCTCCACAACCTGCCCTCCTCCGCTCTCAAAGCCAGTCCGTCGCTTGTTCAGGGAAAGCCCCTGGCGGGCCGGACCGGTTTGTTTACCTGCCGTGTCTGTAGCTTCAGCCGATTGCGGCTCCCACTGGCCATGGTTCGCCGCTCCAGGCCAATGCGAGCTGCGGGAAGCAGCGCGGGCCAAGGGGGAACAAGCGGCGGACGGGCTTTGAGAACTACTGCTCTATAAGGGTCTGCGGTAGAGAAGGAAGTGAGGAGGGGTTCGCCCGTGCAGTGGTAAATAGCCTCGGGCAAACCACGGTACGGGCTCAATGGGACACTGCTACCAAAAATCTCCGATTAGAGGTGCAGGGGCACACACACACCTACAGTGGAGCACCCATAGGGACACACATTGTTACTGCACAAGGTGAGTAACTTCCTCTTATAACATATGTAACATTCCAGCCATAGGAATCATCCCATTCAGTAATACTAACTAAATCAAATTTATGTTCATAAATAAACTATTCCAATTCCTGTTTTTTGTTACCTTTTTTTTGTATAACATGTTGAGATGAATTTTATAACCATTCACCTGGAAAGATTTAAAGTGTGCAAAGCTTAAACTGGAACAGCAGATTGATTCAGTAGGAGTTAGTTTTTTAATTCTCCCTCTGGATATCCCTTGCAGACTAGTAATGAAGATAAAGAAAACACTTTTACTAAGTGTGGAATGGAGTGTATGTACTAGAGAATATGTTGTTCTAAGACCAGAAAAGTGTCACGTAGGTTGACTGCAGTTGTGTATGCCTTAAAGGGAATATGTTTTCTTTTAAATGTTTGCCATTGTTGGTTACTAGATATTTCCCAGCTCAAGACTGTGACAGTTCATATATACACTGAAGGCCTACTTTTGACCATTGCCTGCCTTTGTACAATGCTGTAACAAATAAAACAATGTATAAGAAGGAAGGAGACTTTGTTTTATTTTTCTAGATATATTCTTTAATATAAAAACTAGATATAGTTTTTACTGAATGGAACATAATGGTTTATGTGGTTTCATTCTATTGTCTAAAAGATCATTTTAGATTATTGTCTGTAGCAATTGTACACTACATGTATGTAGAGTGGTTATTGCAGAAATGCAGAAGCCCCTGTTTAGTGTTCCATATTGTGTTTATTTCATTTTACAGAGTGTACCTATACACTGTTTTCTCTATTTAATGCACTAAAATCTTCCTCTCTCTTTAGAGAGAAAAGTAGATGAGCTAACCAAGAAAAGAGAGGTTTTGGTTGCAAAGCTGGAAGCAAATCTAAAGGATCTGCAACAGGCACAGGATTTTGCAGCAGGCCAGATAGGAAAAGAGAGCTCAAGTGGTGAGTGCAAAGTAAATAATTTAGTCAGCAAAAATGATGATTTGGGGGAACATGGGGTCTTCCAGGATCCTCTCTGGACTGAATGCTTGAACCAAGAATATAAATTCTGTTATTGCCACTTATGAATACTCAGGGCTAGATCCACAAAGGGGAGTTAGACTCATCATTACAACATCTAATATTTAGGTGCTCTGCTACCTTGTGGAATCCACAATCCTAAATTAGGTGCCCAGGCTCCTCTCCCTGGGGAGAATTAGGTGCTTAAGAATGTGATTCATAAAAACCAGCACACTGTGTGGGGAGTTGCCTAAGCTGGCTGGTAGGAAGCTGTTCCACTTTGAAAATACTTAAATATTCATAGGGCCAGAGAAAGAATGAGAGTGATTCTGTAGGCCAGTGGTTAGGGCACTGGGAGACCCAGGTTCCAGTCCCTGCTGCAGTGATTATTTAAGTATTTCATACAAAGTGGAACAGCTTCAACAAGAGATTGAGACCCACCCCAGGATATACTGTATAGCCAAGTGATAAGGGACTCTACTTCAAGGTAGTCGGTCTAAGTCCCTACTCCATTTCAGATGGAGTAGGGATTAGAGCCTTTGGTTTCCATATTCTGGGTACGTGTCCTCTATCTCAGATTAAATCATGCAGTTATATAAACCATAATAATGAACAAGGTGAAATGTTTAGGATTGGTAAATGTCACTTTATGCAACCTATAGTGTTAAACGGCCATTAGCCAACCACAGTCCTCTTGTGGCTTCTCAGTGAGGTATATATTTTCCAGGGATAATGCAAAGTACAGTTGTTTTGCACTTGTGAGCATCTTCAAGGCAAGATGTGAATCCCTTTAGCACCTTTGAAATCAAGTTGACAACTAGTGACATTTGGCTCCCAAATATCTTATGAACATTATAAAAACATGCCCATGCTCCTAAACAATGACATTTGTATGGAAAACATATGTAGAGGTTTACATTGATCCCAACATATTCTACCAATCTGTTTGCATCAGGCACACAGGGTCAAATTCAGCCCTGGCATAAGTGGGTACACCTATTCCTGTTCTCTGAGGAGTTTCACCATACATATGGAATTGAGTAACTTATGCTTTAAGATCTATTTAAAGTCTGAAAATAAATTCTAGTTGCCTGAAAGACTGTAATGACTTCTGTGAACAGATTACTTTCCATCATTTAAATATATTTGTAAAATTATTGTTAAATGAACTAAGTAAAGAAGAAATCTCGGTGTAAAATCTTTTCTGGGCATGTGCTACACAGCAACTTTTTAATATGAAATATCTTTGTTTTTAGGTGGGGGTTGTTATATTATGCTGAAATAGAAAGTATAAATTTTAATTGTTTAAATAATCTCTCTGTAGAGAAAGAGAGACTACAATTACCAGACTTTAGGAAGGTAGCAAGTCAACCATCAAATTGGGAAACACTGAAGTCAGTGTCATCACTTGAAGGTCTCCAGCTAACATTAAGTGAACTATCTGGTGAGTACAGAGTTAATATTTGTTAAAACTACCACATATTAAATGTCCCCAAGTGTCATTAATGCAGAGTTAAGATTGCCCAGTGGTGTCTTGTGCTCTTCCAGAATATTGAGAGTGGCTAAACTTGAACCTCTGAAAACCAGGAAACACAAAGCACCCCTTAATTCTGCCGTCTGGAGCAATAATCACTGGGAATGGTTCAGTAATGTTGGTGCCATAATAAAGCAGAGCTAAAGAAAGACTATGAGAAGGTGTCATTTTTGTGTTGAGTTCAAGATTTGAATTGCAGCATTTATCTGCATGTACTCCAGCTTCATTCACTGTGTTATGAGTGGCTGTACTGAATGATGGAGCAATGTTGAAGAGGGTTGGAAGATTGTCACTCTGATGCAAGGGGAGGTGCATGTGTACCTAGAGGGAGTAAGTATGCATCACTTCATAGCTGAGTTCTGTCCTTGCCTTGGGGTCTTGTCATGAGACTTGTCAGCAGTTGGCTGTTACATCTTGTGGCCACTTCATGTACAGCAACATCCCTCATTGAGCACCTATCAACCCTAGTACCTATCAGAGGCTCCAGCTTGGCTGACAAACAGAGATCCACGGCCTGGGTGAAATTGAATTCCTGTGTCCTTACCAATGGCTGTTCTGGAACCCAAAGTGTTTCCTGCCCACTTCCAGGTAATCTCCACACCCTCCCCACTCTACTTCATCCAGCAAGAGTCAGGAGCTGCCCACTCAGATGCAGCAGGTAACCAGCCTCGGTACCGGGCCCGGTGCCAAGCAAGAGGAAATTGCTTCAGTTGCTCGTCCCTTGGTGGAATCGAAGGAGATTCCACCGGCCTTGGCTTTGGCTTCTGCTTCCTCCTCCTTTTCATCCAATGAGGCAATAATATCTGAGAGTTCTTCTCCAGTGCTGGTTAATTATAGAGCCCATCAGGACCTGTTAAAAGAGGGTGGCATCTGCCTTAAATATCCAGATAAAAAAGGTTCAGGAGAAATTTCAGGCTAGTACACCTCCCACCTTCTGTGGGATCTTCTTGAGTGGCTTTCCCAATCAATGCAGCCGTCCTGGAGCCCACTGAAATGTAGTGGCAGACCCATCTTCCCTCCCCCCTACAGCAAAAAGGGCAGAAAGAAGGTATTATGCCCCCTCACAGGGTTTTGAACACAGTTTTATAACCACCCTCCCTAGAGTCACTAGTAGTCGTGGCTGCCAATAAGAGAGAGCGATAGGGTCATCAAGCATCTACACTAAAAGGGAAAGAGGCAAAGAAGCTAGATCTCTTTGGCAGAAAGCTTTATTCCACTAATAACTGCTAACTATCAGGCATTGCTGGCATGTTATGATTTTAGCCTTTAGGACAATGTATTAAAGTTCAAAGATAAGTTGCCAGAGGAGGCAAGACAGGAGGTTATCACAATGGTGGATGAGGATAAATTGGTGACCAGGATCTTGTGTCAGGCCAATTTCAATGCTGGGGATTTGGCAGCTTGGACCATAGTGATGCATAGTGTGTTCCTGTCTTCTGTGATCTGGTCTCCATCAAGAGGTCAAACTGACGATACGGGACCTGCCCTTTGAGGGGCTGTAGTGAGGCCAAGTGGTCCTCACTACACTCCCGTTGGAGGACGAAGCCTAGATTGCCCCCCGCCCCACCAGAAGTATAAAAGGCAGGCCCTGCAGCCCCATTGGGGCAGAACCTGTGGAGGAGAAGGATGCTTCGCATGTTCTTCAGCAGCCCAGAGGGGAACTTACGCCTTCCAATCCCCAGACGCCAAGGATGACTGGCCCAGACTGCCTGACACTGGATACCCCAAGGAGCCAGAAGAGGCCTGGAGGCCACAGGTACCAATCCGCAGGGAGGCAGGAAGTGGCCCGGGGCAGCCGCAGAGCAGCCGGCTGCGGAGCCAGGTGCGGCTCAGTCAGTGTGTTGCAGCTGGATCCCCACCGATGCACAAGCAGCCAATCCAGAGAACATTTAATCTCGAGTGCGTTTTTTTCGCCTTCTTATCTGCGCTGGCCTCTGGGACGGAGATGATAGGGGGAGCATTGAAACATTTGCAGCTGTGGGAGGGAAAAAAGGGAGAGTAGTATTTAAAAAGACACATTTTAGAGAACAATGGGTAGACTCTTTCACTGTGAACCAAGCTGTTCACATGTGCTTTCGGTACAAGGTCGCATTTTGCCTCTTATATTGAGGGCCTGCCCATTTGGTGTGAGAGATCACACATGCAGGGCCAGGCAACAGAATTCGGTTTGCAGGCAGCCATGGTAAGCCACAGACTTTCGGCTTCTTCAACCTTCATAACATGTGGGAATGGTTTCAAACAGCAGCGCCCTCCTTTTCCATACCAAGTACCCGTTGGGTTGGCCATTTAAAAGGAGGGGCTGTACTGGCTGTGAATGCATCCCAAGTCTTCAGGGCAAATTAATCATTAAACAGGCTTGCTTTTAAACCATATATTATATTTACAAAGGTACACTTACCAGAGGTGCCTTCTCCAGCTTCATGGTCCGGGAGGCCTCCTTGGGAAGGTATTGGCTCCAGGGTGATAAACAGTTCCTGGCTGTGGGGTAGAATGGTTTCTCCCCTTGCCTGCTGTGCACTATCCTCCTCCTCATCATCTTCCTGGTCCCCAAAATCCTCATCCCTGTTGCGTGAGACTCCCCCCTTGCAGGTGTCCCCAGACAGGGATGGGGTAGTAGTAGGGGCGCTCCCTAAAATTGCATGCAGCTCATCATAGAAATGGCATGTCTGGGGCTCTGACCCGGAGTGGCCGTTCGCCTTTTTGGTTTTTTGGTAGGCTTGCCTGAGCTCCTTAATTTTCACGTGGCACTGCTGCGGGTCCCTGTTGTAGCCTCTGTCCATCATGCCCTTGGAGTTTTTGGCAAATATATTGGCATTTCATCTTTTGGAATGGAATTCTGATAGCACAGATTCATCTCCCCATACAGCGATCAGATCCAGTACCTCCTGTTCGGTCCATGCTGGAGCTCTTTTGCAATTCTGGGACTGCATGGTCACCTGTGCTGATGAGCTTGCCACTCTGGCCAAACAGGAAATGAAATTCAAAAGTTCCCGAGGTTTTTCCTGTGTACCTGGCTAGTTCATCTGAGTTGAAAGTGCTGTCCAGAGCGGTCACAATGGAACACTTTGGGATAGCTCCCGGAGGCCAATACCGTTGAATTGCATCCACACTACCCCAAATTCGACCCGGCGATATCAATTTCAGCACTAATCCCCTCGTCGGGGAGGAGTACAGAAATAGATTTTAAGAGCCCTTTAAGTCAACAAAAATGGCTTCGTCATATGGATGGGTGCAGGGTTAAATCAACCTAATGCTGCTAAATTTGACCTAAACTTGTAGTGTAGACCAGGGCTAAGTGCTTAATCCTGCATCACTGCAGACCAATGGGTCTTAAGCATGGCAACACATCAGAGCCACAGAAAATTCCTCAGATTTGTGGTCAACAAATCCCGCTAACAGTTTACAGTACTACACTTTGGCCTGTCTGCAGCCCCTCATATATTCACACAATACATGGCAGTGGTGGCAGCCTTCCTGAGAAGTCAATTCACATAGTTCCTTATCTGGATGACTGGTTGCTAAGGGGTCAGTGCCAGGCTCAGGTACTGTCCAGGGTGACGCTCATCCAATCCACCTGTGATGCACTAGGTGAAGTCTCACACACACAGACAAATCAATTCTGTCACCTGTACAAAAGATAAAGAATATAGGGGCACTCTTGGACTCTATGAAAGCTAAGTATCAGGGGATAGCCGTGTTAGTCTGTACCCACAAAAACAACAAGGAGTCTGGTGGCACCTTAAAGACTAACAGATTTATTTGGGCATAAGCTTTTGTGGGTAAAAAACCCATGAAAGGTTATGCCCAAATAAATCTGTCAGGCTTTAAGGTGCCACCAGACTCCTTGTTGTTTTTATGAAAGTTAAGGCCTTCGTTCCATAGCTAAGATTCCAGATGATGCTGAATATTGCTTTGGACCTGAAGGCCCATTCTACTATGACAGTTCAAACTTTCCTCAGGCTTCTAGGACATGCCCTCATGCATTTATGTAATTTGACATGACCAGGCTTCATCTTAGGAAACTACAAGAGTGGTTAGCATTGGTATACTTACTGATCTGCCATGATGAAGACTGGCTAGTCTGGGTGCCCAAACAAGTCTTGACATCTCTAGATTAGTGGACAGACCCTTCAAATGTTTGTGTCAGAGTTCTGTTTGCTCCTCCTCAATCAGCTTTCACCTTAGTCACACACACTTCTGCCCTGGATTGGGGGACTCACCTCTGGTCCCTACAGACTCAAGGTTTATGGCCTGCCCATGATTTGACTCTACATATAAATATCAGAATTGAGGATCATCTGTGTAGGTTGTTTGGCCTTCCTTTCCCATGTCATGCTGTCTGGAGTGGTTCATGACCATGAGTGCCTACCTCATGGCAGACTGTCAAAAACAAGGCAGATACCCCTGTGATACTCTGTACCTCAAAGTAGCACCCTGGAACTCCCATATTCACCAATGTCATATAACTATGATATGTTTTGTACAAAGTATGCCTTGCGCGATATCATTTTAAAAGTCTTGATCTGTTGAACAATAATATTCTGTTAGATTGTGTGTATTATCATTGTATGTGAAGTTATGAATTATTTCTATATGTGTTACTGAAATATGGTGTGAGGTTGGGAACACCCACAACCAGCCTTTCAGGTACATCAATAGTCAGACGGTATTAATGGCTCATCAACACACAATCCACTATCCTAGAGACTTCTCAGAGAAGGTCGAACTAACCCACGTCACATGCAAAGTTCTTTCCAGCAAACTGGAAGGAAATGTAAAAGAGAGACATGTAAAAATGTAAAAGTGACATCATCAATTGGCTTCTCTCTCCTCTTGCCCCATCTCAACACCTGATAGTCCTGTCACCGCTCCTGCATTATCTCCTCATCTCATGTTTCTCTGCTTGTCCA